TATTGACAATATTAGTTGTACCATAATTATTGTAATTTATGTCTTTTAAATTATATTTTTTACCCTAAATCTTCGAACATATATATTGTACTTTTATATTGTTCCCTAAATCTTGTTATATTGTGCTTCTATCGGGTACCTTAAACATGGCTACTTGTAAATTATTCTTCCATCACCTACCTTTATGCCTTAGTTTATTATAACTTGCACATTACTTAACGTAAATTTAAACTTGTCCCTTATAAAAACCTTGCAGGTAGTAATGAAACCCAGGTGTGCCCCAGGGGAGAAGCTCATTTGCATAAACACTTCAGCTCATGTACTAAGGATCCAGGTCACAAGCAATTTATACCTATTGATAAATTTTCTTTGACTAACCTTCCCAAGCGCTACAGACACCCTTACCTGTACAGGGTCATACGGCTTTTGGCTGATCTGACCGTACGATTAGCTGTCACGTGGACAAGTACGGAAAGACCCGATTTCTACCCGGAAAGTGATATTCCATATCCATTCTCTGAAATAAGAGGAAGTGACATCATGAAGCTTGGAACTGGAAGAGTTCAAGAAATCATAAGATATACAGAAAAGGAGAAGAAATTATGCCCGTGTTGTCAGATTAATCCACGCAGAAGTCCGTGCAAAACTTGGGGAGAGATTGAGGTGGTTACTGCTACCCATGTAGTGTTTGATGACAGCGAGGCCAGACAGACTTCGTGCCGTTTTTTCTTTGACAATCAGAGCAGTCCCATTTTGACTCTACAAGGCGTTAGGGTACTGGGAGCGGACTTGGAGAAAGATCTATGTTGGCTCGTCCTGGCCACGTGTGACGTCGTCCTGTTAAATAAACTGCAGAATCTCAAGGATCGTTTTCTGTACTGGTGGAGCAGGGTCTACGATGACTACTGGGACCTCCGGGACGAGGCCAGGCTGGCTGTCATAGTGTCACACCCTCATGGCTGCCCGAAGCATGTGTCCGTTGGCCGATGGACGGAGAGGAGTGAGGTTGGAGACTATGATTATAAGTACACCTACACGACGAGCACCTGCCAGGGAAGCAGTGGGGCATGTGTCTACCTACTGGGCATCGATGGGTGGCTGTACTATGAGCACATACACAGTGGGACCTTATCTAAACATGAAAACTTTAGCGGGGCGGGTAGAGACTATATTCGATATATCGAAAATGTAAATGAAAAATAAAATTTAAAAAATGAAAGTATAATTATTTCATTGGGTTTGGTTCCAACGTGACGTCACTAAAATAATGACATGGGGTATAACTTTAATAAAAGCAAGGCATTTATCTCCCTGTGTCTGATTTTAATATATATATATATATATATATATATATATATATATATATATATATATATATATATATATATATATATATATATATATATATATATATATATATATATATATATTTACATAAATACATATATATATATATATATATTAATTTTTTAAAAACTATGAAACCGAGGCAAATGTCCGTGGCTTTTAATTTAAATTCAGCTATCCACTAAGTTGTTAACATTTATTGCCAGGAGATCATAAAATAAAAGGATACATTACTATGTATCCTACAGGCCAATATGCTATAATGATATTATAAAGTACTCATTTTAAAAAGTTTTGAATATGATTTTAAGCACTTAAAATAACTTAGTCCGTTCTTTATATTTTACTGTAAAAATATGCAAGCTACGGCGCTTTGCCAGTCAAGCAGGAAATTGGCCAGCACTCGATTACTTTTGATGAAATGTCATTGTACATAACATTGTATTGATTACATGATATTGTTTTGTGATTTTTAAAATAAGTTTACAATGTTAACAACCCGTTCGAATTAACTGGTTTTCGCACACTGCTACATACCAGTACAACTTTTGAAAACAGTATTATTTTCTTTACATAAATGTCATAAACATTTTACTCAGCATTATTACATTTTTAATTTGTATACGTACTTTTATTATATGCATAGGTAAATTATTTATCAAGGTGTCCCCAAGGGGTTCACCCCCTAAAAAAAAAAAACAACAAAAAACAAATGTTATTTGTGACATATGACCATATTCCTTTCAGAGCTTTCAGGACGACATCTGCTCTCTTTGTGCAAACTTATAATTGAGCTATCTTCCCACCAAACCCAAATTCTGCCACAAAAAAAAAAGTGAGATGTTATTAGAGTGCATTCCCAGATTATCAAAGTGCCTCTTCAGATGATCAAAGTATCTTCCTCACTACTCATATAAACCCCAAAATCATTTTTTAATACATCGCTTGCACGATCAAAGTTCCTAGGCCAAGCACGACAGCCAAATCTAAATGTCCAACAATCGCTCCAAAAACTCCAAATCCCAAAATAACTAACCATATCGAAAATCTCCTTTACCTCACATGAAATAACCACAATAAAATCTCTTAATCAAAATACCACACCAAATATGTCCCAATCAAAAAATCACACCACATATATCCCAATCAAACAATCACACCACACATCTCCCAATCAAACAACCAAACCAAATATCTCCGAATCCAACAACCACACCAAATATCTCCCAATCCAACAATCACACAAAATATCTCCAAATCCAACAATCACACCAAATATATCCCAATCCAAAAATCACACCAAATATCTCCCAATACAACAACCACATCAAATATCTCCCAATCCAACAACCACACCAAATATCTCCCAAACCAACTATCACACCAAATATCTCCCAATCCAACAATCACACCAAATATCTCCCAATCCAACAATCACACCAAATATCTCCCAAACAAACAACCACACCAAATATCTCCCAATCCAACAATCACACCAAATATCTCCCAAACAAGAAATCACTCCTAATATCTCGCAATCCAACAATCACACCAAATATCTCCCAATCCAACAATCACAACAAATATCTCCTAATCAAACAACCACACCAAATATCTCCCAATCCAACAATCACACCAAATATCTCCCAAACAAACAATCACACCAAATATCTCCCAATCCAACAACCACACCAAATATCTCCCAAACAAACAATCACACCAAATATCTCCCAATCCAACAACCACACCAAATATCTCCCAAACAAACAATCACACCAAATATCTCCCAATCCAACAACCACACAAAATATCTCCCAAACAAACAATCACACCAAATATCTCCCAATCCAAAAATCACACCAAATATCTCCTAATAAAACAACCACACCAAATATCTCCCAATCCAACAATCACACCAAATAACTCCCAAACAAACAATCACACCAAATATCTCCCAATCCAAAAATCACACCAAATATCTCCCAATCCAACAATCACACCAAATATCTCTTAATCGAACAATCACACCAAATATCTCTTAATCGAACAATCACACCAAATATCTCCCAATCGAACAATCACACCAAATATCTCCCAATCCAATAATCACACTATAAATCTCCGATTCCAACAACACAGCAACTACTCTGTCTTCTAATACAACCGCCACTACATCTATACTACCGTATCTATAATCTTGAATCTAATGATTTGAATTATTTAATAGTTTTTCGAAACACGGAGGGAAATCCTTAAACTCTAGATCACCTTAACAGGCGGGAAACGTCATGAAAATAAATGAAGGTGTTAAATAAAGAAAATCACCTTTTAATCCAGTGGTTCTCAACCTTTCTTTTGCTGCGACGATTTATTACAGATTAAGATTTTTGTGGTGACCCTCAACTATAAAATTATTTTCGTTGATATTTCATATATAGGTGTTTTCCGATGGTCTAAAGTGACCCGTGGGTAGTAGTAGTTCCACCCCCTAAGGGTCGGGACCCACAGGTTGAAAACCGAGGATCGAATTAGTTTTTTTTTTTTTTTTTTGGATAGATTTAATCTGCGACCAACTTCATTCTTTCGTTGTAAGTGTCAAATCATTTTAGGGAAATTGGTTCTATTTTTTAAATGTTAGTTCCACCCCCTAAGGGTCGGGACCCACAGGTTGAAAACCGAGGATCGAATTAGTTTTTTTTTTTTTTTTGGATAGATATAATCTGCGACCAACTTCATTCTTTCGTTGTAAGTGTCAAATCATTTTAGGGAAATTGGTTCTATTTTTAAAATGTGGATGTATTCTACTAGATAAACATCTTCCAGTTACTTTTAAAGTGTTTACAGCAGTCTTGCACAACTCAAATATGGGCCACATTTCTTTTTGGCCTGGGTTACAAAAGGCCTGCACGACTCAAAATGTGGGTCATATGTCGTGTTGGCCTGGGTTACAACAGGTCTGTACAACTCAAAATGAGGGCCATATGTCGTTTTGGCCTTGGTTTTCACAGGCTTGCACAACTCAAAATGTGGGTCAAATGTCTTGTTGGCCTGGGTTATAACAAGCTTGCACAACTCAAAATGTGGGCCGTATGTTGTGTTGGCCTGGGTTACAACAGGCTTGCACAACTCAAAATGTTGGTCATATGTCTTGTTGGCCTGGGTTATAACAAGCTTGCACAACTCAAAATGTGGGCCGTATGTTGTGTTGGCCTGGGTTACAACAAGCTTGCACAACTCAAAATGTGGGCCGTATGTTGCGTTGGCCTGGGTTACAACAGGCCTGCACAACTCAAAATGTAGGTCATATGTCTTGTTGGCCTGGGTTATAACAAGTTTGCACAACTCAAAATGTGGGCCGTATGTTGTGTTGGCCTGGGTTACAACAGGCTTGCACAACTCAAAATGTGGGTCATATGTCTTGTTGGCCTTGGTTATAACAAGCTTGCACAACTCAAAATGTGGGCCGTATGTTGTGTTGGCCTGGGTTACAACAGGCCTGCACAACTCAAAATGTGGGTCATATGTCTTGTTGGCCTGGGCTATAACAAGCTTGCACAACTCAAAATGTGGGCCGTATGTTGTGTTGGCCTGGGTTACAAAAGGCCTGCACAACTCAGAATGTAGGCCGTATGTTGTCCAGGCTTTGGTTGTAATCACACGATGAAAGTTTCATGTCATACGGGGCAAAATCTTTAGAAATAGATTATCATCCGCGTTGAAAGTCTTATCTATGGGATTTGGTTATATATACTGGCCTAAAATCTGGGACTGGTTACAATTATTGCATTTGCCTTCTCTATGTCATTGTACTTGGAGCTATACTTCATATTTGGCACACGCAATGTCTTCGCCAGTTGGTATTATGGTAGTCCTGTCGATCATGGTCATATTAGGACACAGTGCCCCATGTAAGCAAGTTATTGTTTGTGATAAATGTTCTTGTCGTTTTTTTTTTCTATCAAAACCAGAAGTCGTTAGCACGACTGCAATGCAATATATGTTTATGTTAAGTTCATGGTAGGTATCTTGTTCTATTAAATATCCATTTTATTAAAACATTCCAGCTGTCTTATTCTATCTAAATATAAATTTTGCTTAAAACATGCCAGCTGTCTCATTCTATCTAAATATAAATTTAGCTTAAAACATGCCAGCTGTCTTGTTCTATCTAAATATAAATTTAGCTTAAATCATGCCAGCTGTCTTATTCTATCTAAATATAATTTAGCTTAAAGCATGCCAGCTGTTTTGTTCTATCTAAACAAAAATTTAGCTTAAAACATGCAAGCTGTCTTGTTCTATCTAAATATAAATTTAGCTTAAAACATGCAAGCTGTCTTATTCTATCTCATCATAAATTTGGCTTAAAACATGCCAGCTGTCAAGTTCTATCTAAATATAAATTTTGCTTAAATCGTCCAATCTTTATGATGATTGAAATAACTGCAATCGATTATTGTATTTTTTACCCTTACAATTAAATTTATTAAATTCTAAGTGACAGGGACATTTTTGTGTGTGTGTTTTAAGTGGACTTTCTGACCTCTCCTATGACGTGATTGCTTCAATTGTCTATGAAGTATATCCGCATAAAAATGTGTTAAGCTATTTTGCATTTGATTTCAATATTGATACAAGATCATTAGTAACTCGTTCAAGTTATTTGACAATTTAAATGATTGACTTAAATATGGAAAAAAATTAAATGTTAACTCTTAATAGTCATTTTAAAATTTAATAATTGTCTTTAACAGAAATTAAAATCATAGCAGACTAATGGCACAATGTCTTTTGTTCCGGCTGGTAACTTGATTGAAAGTATTTAAATGCCTTAATTTTTTTTTTTTTTATAGAATGATGCACGTAACACATACAAGTCTTTAACAATTAGATTGGTACATTTTCATTCGGGCTGAATTGTTGATAAGTTATTTGTTTCACTTCAATGAGATGTTCTTTTTTGGTCAGCATTTTAACGTTATTTTCAAAAAAAAAAATAAAGTGTTGAGTTGTGTGATGATGTGTTAGTTTATAATCGTATTTAATAAGACAAAATAAATACATCCAGCCTTATAGAAATTATGTCTTAAAAATCTAATTAGTAAACCATGGGCTAACCATAAAACTACTTGAAACTATTTCATTAAAGTTGACTCCTTGACCCACATGTGTTCCTATTGCTAGTGTAGCATAAAAATATGTGGGTAAACAAGTTGATCACTTGACCTACATGTGTTCCTATTGCTAGTGTAGCATATACATATGTGGGTAAACAAGTTGATCACTTGACCTACATGTGTTCCTATTGCTAGTGTAGCATATAAATAAGTGGGGTAAACAAGTTGATCACTTGACCCACATGTGTTCCTATTGCTAGTGTAGCATATAAATATGTGGGTAAACAAGTTGATCACTTGACCCACATGTGTTCCTATTGCTAGTGTAGCATATAAATATGTGGGTAAACAAGTTGATCACTTGACCCACATGTGTTCCCATTTCTCTTAACGTGTCCTGAAATATCTGTTTCAACCACAGTTGACCCGGCTGTCGACTGTAGCGGTGGCGTCATGTGCCTGGCCGTCTACAGACCCGTCTGCGGCTCTGACGGGAACACGTACAGCAACGCGTGTGAGTTGGGGGCAGCCAACTGCGCCAGCACCAAGGACGAATGGATAACAGTTGTTAGTCAAGGAGCCTGTGGGAAGTCGCTATCTGAAGTCTGAAACTCAAAATAATGACGGTCTCGTACCATGAACTGGTCGGTAACTTGATAGACTTTGTGGATTGTTTCCTACTGACTGTCGTACCGACTAACAAGCTACAATTAAAATAAATTAAAATAAAAAAAGGACATAAAGTATACTCTAATAATTTCTACTTTTTATAATTAAAAAAAAAAAAATGTTAAGGAAATTCAAAAAATTGTACTATTTTCCCATATGAGTAAATATTTAATTGAAAGAAAAGAAGGGTCCTGAAAGATTGATTTCAATTTGTTAACCCCGGAAACAAACTGCTAAGATTGTATATGAATTAGTGTATATGTAAGGATTAGAGCAAATGTAAGTTTGAGGGTGAATGTAATACTATAAGGATAAATGTAAGTATAAGGATAAATGTAAGGTTGATGGTTAATATAAGGATGAGGATAAATTTAAGGATGAAAATAAATGTAAGGATGAGGTTAAAAGTAAGGAAGAGGATATATGTAAGGATGAGGGTTAATATAAGGATTAATGTAAATGTAAGGATGGGGATAAATGTAAGGATGAGGATAAATGAAAGGATACAATTAAATGTAAGGATGGAGGTAAATTGAAAGAATTATGATAAATGTAAGAATGAGAGTAAATGTAAAGAGTATGGCTAATGTAAGGATGACGATAAATATAAGAATGATGATAAATGTAAAGATGCGGATCATGTAAGTATGATGATAAATGTAAGGTTGAGGATAAATGTAAGCAAGAGAGTTAATGTATGATCGAGGTTTAATGTAAAGATGAGTACAAACGTAAGGATGAGGGGGAATGTTAGGATGCTAGTTAATATAAGTGTAATGGTAAATGTAAGGTAATCGATCAATTTGAGGATGAAGATAAATGTAAGGATGAGAGTAAATTTTAGGTTTAGGGTGAAAATGAGGACGAGGATAAATATAAGGATAAGAGTAAATTTTAGGTTTAGGGTGAATATGAGGACGAGGACAAATATAAGGATAAGAGTAAATTTTAGGTTAAGGGTGAATTTGAGGATGAGGATAAATGTGAGGAAGATGGTGAGTGTACTGATGACCGTTTCTAGAACAACGTTTTGTATTGAGTGGTACATGAAAGGCATACAAATGATATAGTTGAATGAATGCATGCCTTCAAATCTAACTCAAGAATTTCCCTAACACAACACGTAGATGCATGTATGTCTGGTTTAGTTTTAGCCTTTTAATATGTTTAAATTATGGGAGTACTTAAAAAAAAAAACACACTCTTAATTTAAGACTTTGAATGTCACAAACTGCATTGGTTTATGAATGACAGCTTAGTCAAACATAAAACACGACAAAGCAATGAACGTAAAAAAACTATAATATAAGTGGGGAAAATGCAGACTCTTAATTTGAACTTTTGACTCATCTTCTGGTTCAAAGGTCAAAATCCCCCTTAAAATCCCAAGTGAATTGGGTCATTTCTCTTCAGCAGAATCCCTGCGTACTTGACACACACAAGAAAGGGAAGTAAATAATACATTTAAACAATATTGTCCAAGATCCCAAACGACTCAGCAGTTGGCGGACACCTGGACATATTGAATGGTCGTTTACGCCATCCAATCCCTCAATAATTTCTTTCAGCAATCTCGCGGGGGGGGGGGGGGCGTAGTGTCCCCTGGGTAAAGTCAGTGCTCCTCCCTCCCCCCCCCCCCTCAACAAAATGTGCAAACTAAAATTTTGTTCATACTTTTTAAATTTAATTTAAAGCTACTATATTGTTATTTTAAACAGTTTTAAAAAGAATAGTATCTGGTGCTTTAACCGATTAAAGTTTGTGGCATCTATGAAATACCGCAGTGTTCGATATATTTGATGATCCTAGGATAAAAGGTCAATCTTGTTAAAGGATTACAGTATTAGATTAAAAATAGCGTACTGGCCGCTCCTGAATATAAGTCGAAATTTTACTTTCCGTTCATCGCATTTATCGTTATTTTTATTGATTATTTCTTGCAACTTCAAAATTTAAAGACGTTAAGAACACTGCATTATACTTATATTACCTTAACATCAACATCAAGATCTACAATTCAAATTTAGTTCTTGCAAAGTAGCACACATACGCAAACTATTTTCAAATTATATTTCATCATAAAAGCATAACTTTTAAAGTAGGGATGAGTATTAATTTTAATAAAATTATTATTATTTTTTTAAAATATTTTTATTTGCATTATTTTAATGTACTTGATTCCATGAATTTTGAGTTGTATAAAATGGAAAATTGAAAAAAAATTGAGATATATTTTTTAAATTAAGTATGTAATGGTCGCATACAAACGGAGCACATTTCATTTGATTAAGAGCGTGTTTGTTTTCTTTCAATATATTAACAGTGTAAAAAAAAAATAATAATAAATAAAAAACTTTCACGAAAAACAGAGTTAAAAAAAAAGAAAATGACAATTTTTTAAAAAATTTCGAACTAGTTTTGTGTTTTCAGTATCAGAATAATAAACAATCTGTTCCATCCAGTTGCCAGGGACGTCACTTGGGTAAGGCAGAGTGGAGCATTTGTCCCCCCCCCCTCTCTCTCTGAATTTGCATGTTTTATTTGCTATGTCCTGTGGCACAACCACAAAAAAGCAAGATGACCAAGTTTTTGTTTTGCCCCCCCCCTCCCCCAATGTCCCCCTAAAAAACACTAAAATGACGCCCAGGCTTGTTGCACGGATTTTTCAAACTATACTTTTTTTTCAACATGAGAATCCATCAGAAGGCACATTAAATGAAGATTTTTTTTAAGGAAAATTTTGAATAACTTGCCAATTCACTTGTTGTTGGTACTTCTTTTCAATTCTGTGAATTCGGGAATAAAACATTTTAAAGTATATGTAAGTGGCAATCTGTTATCTATCTTTAAAAAAGTTAAAGTAGATTAAAATTGCAAATAAACATTTCAATCAACTTTATATTGTGAATTGTATACCTTATGTTGTAAGCAAGTCATGTCTTCTTTATAATATTAATGACGATCATATCCGATAAAAAGAAACGACACGTTTTCATAACCCATAAGAATGTATAGATCTTTCTAATTAACATTTTTTTTTTCTTTTTGACTCTGGTAAAACTTGAAAATATTTAGCAATATTTATTATTACACGTAATTTTTTTATTATAAGCATTTCCCCCCCCCCCCNCCCCCCCCCCCCATTTTTGTCCAACATGTTAAAGGATGTTAGCAGTGCTGTTTGTGATTGAAACATTTTTTTTTTCTTCTTAAAATTCATTTATTAATTATGTAGCTGAGACCCCAAAAAACCTACAATACAAAAGATGAAAGCCACATTAATAGTTAGTCAAATAAAACTATTTGCAAAGACGACCAGGTCATGCAGAGCCATCGCTCCAATTTTCGAGGCTCTTTTTGGTTCCCCCCCCCTCCCAAACTTGCATTGAAGACGATAAGTGAGAAAATACCAACGTCACATAGTTAAGCCCATAAAATATCCGAGGCCCGCTACAGTTGAAGGGGATGCTGGCCTGACACGATCTTTCTAAGGTTAAGTGACATCTACTTTTTAGTTGTTGTTTTTTTTATAAAACTAGCATCTCTTCCGTAGCTCTCCGAGTGTGGAATGCTACGAAACTAAATTGAAGTATTTTGTTAAAATGAATTCTTCTATTTTGAATTCGTCAACAAATTTCTGGAGACTAAAAATTTTAATTAACGATATGAAGTTAGGGAAAATGAATAACCTTAAGGGCAAAAGAAAAACTGAATTGAATTTTGTTCATGTCTCCCTGGTGCGGCGTTAAAGTTTACTTTGATAATTGTTATGGATATTTTTGGCACTTCCCACACGAAGTTTGAAATGTCCCTCAAAATTGTCTGAAAGAAACACCGCATTAGAGTGAGCGCCAAAACTCATCCCGACATTTTGAATTTTCATGACAGTCTTCTGCACTCTCAAGTTCTGCTCCCCTTCCCTAACGCTGATCAATGTAACAGTATGGGGTTGAAAATAATCTTGCGTCAAAGATTACCCTGGTGCCCTATCTTCATCTATCTTTTCCTTATGATTTCTTCAGCAATAGACTACTGGCATGTTCCAACTAATAAGTCTTTATTGGTGGTGGTGTTTGGCCTTTGATCTTTAGGATCTTTCTAAGGCTAGTGTTTATGAAGGTCTGTTAATTTTGCGTGATGTTCGCTGTTGTTCCTGCTCCATGTAACAGGCTTGTTTTGACATTCGTGTTGAAAATTCTGACTTTGGTTTAAGAGTCAGTTCCTTTTAATCCCATATATTCTTTATTGCTCAAATGCCTACTTCGCCTTTCCAATTCTAGACAATAATTTCGCCTCGGATCCACTTCTTATGTCGATGATGCTGCCTAAGTATTTGAATGACTCCATACTTTCCAGCTCACTTCCTATCAGACAGATATACTTTTGTTTGGTTGAGTTTGCATTGATTTTTAAAACTATTTCTATAAATTAAAGCAAGATTCATCGGCGCCCTCGATTTCTACCGTCCAACCCCCCCCCCCCGATGAAATTGTTCGGTAATTGTGGTAACGAGAGATACACTACCTTAAGGCCGAAGTTCTTTGAGTGCGACTGTGGAGGTCAAATATTTTTGCCGCTCTCCCTTTCACGATGCAAACTATGTAGTGTTCCGAAACTGCAGCGTCTCTATATAAGAAAAAGTGAAGCCTGGGTGAACAACCCTCCCCTTTTCTACGCCACTGGAAAGGGCTTAGCTTTTTGACGTTAGGGGGACATGATTCATTTTGACAACCCCCCCAACTCTGAAACTAACTGATTAGTTTCAACCATCAAACAACCATTAAAGCACATTTTGGTGCTCCCGCTAATGTGGCGTCCGGAAATGCATGCCCCCTCATGCCACCACATAGCTACGCCTCTGGACACTTCCCAATGGCAAACGTTCTTCTCTTTTTTCGTTTAATGAAAACATGTTTCTTTATTTTTGATATGATCGGCTTCATTAATCTCGCCATCTCTAAAATGATCAAAGGTACCTAAAATGTATTTTCCCATAAGTGAGTCAGTCAGTGTAATGTTCTTTTTTACAACTCACCCACCTAGACATAACAAATTAAAGCGAAAAAACCAAACATTCAAAATAAAGTATTTATTTTTTCTAACATAAATTATTTTTAAAAAAATTCTAATATAAATTAAGTATTTTATTAATCTCATTTATCCACTGTAAATCCATTAAAGTTTATCTCCCCAAATGAGAATGTCAAATAATTTAACGACTACACACGCAATGGATAATGTAAAGAGTCAAAGATGGAATCCGCTATGTCACGTCAGTGGAATGCCATGAAGCTTTACCATATTCTAAAGAAATTTACAGCAAGACCTGAGCCGCGGAAGATAACTCTATCGGAACAAATTGAGAGAAGGTTTAATCGGCTATACACATGATTCTGCAGAAAGCTGTCACAGTAGTAGGCGATTCCCGCAAGCAGATTTCCATGACCAATGATCCAAGCTGCTGTTGGTTACGAGGAATGAATAAAATGCAATGTTCGCCGTTAAAAAAACACAAAAAGACCAGAGTTAAAACCAGCCTTTGCCACTGCAGTTTCCGAGCTCGTTTGTCCCGCTGTGAACGTGGCCGTAGAGAACATCCCTCCCCAGCATGTAGACAAAAGCACCACTGCTGCCTGGACACGTGCACGCTGTGTAGAAGTACTTGGTATCGTAGTCCCAGACCTTGAGCCGCTTGGTCCATTCTCCAATGGAAATCTGCTTGTGACAACCGTGAGGGTGAGACACGATGACCGTCAACCTGTCCACATCTTTCGTCCACCAGTACCTGTCCCAAGCCTCCTTGGATAGCCTATTCCACTGATCCACCATCCGGCTTAACGTATCCAGCAATTTCACGTCACACGTGACACAGGACAGCCAACTTCGATCCTCGTCGATGTCTGCCTCCAAAACAAGCTCCCATCCATCAATGTCAACATGATCACTGCTACCATCGTCGTAGAACAACCTGCATTTCGTGGCCTGAGCTTCTGAGTTGTCGTACACAAGATGTGTCGCTGTGTAGACCCAAACCTCCCCCCAGACGCTGCTTGGCGTGCTAGATACCCTGCACTTCTTACACACGCACGTTTTCCCCCCATCAGAATTGGTGAATTTGTAAACGCAGTCGACTTTCCCACTTCCGGTTCGCATCAGTTTGCTCCCTTTGATTTCCTTAAACGGATACGGTTTCCCGGTGTTGAGGTCGCAGTCCGGCCGGAGTGGACTCGTGAAGCTGACGGTGACCCTCACAGTGAGGTCGCACAGAGACTTTATGACATCCAACAAGAGTTGGTCTCTGTAGCCGTCGGGCAGGTCTCTGATGGTGAACTTGCAAGGCAAAATGTATTCACTGTGATCGCTGTTTTTCTGACATAGGGCCTTGTTAAGGCACAGTCCAGCTTCGCCCGTCTGGCACAACTCAGATTCATGGACATCTGCGTGAAAAAAATAAATACTCATTATTTTTTTTATATATTTTTTTTCTATTTTAAAGATATATAGTTATAATAATATTTATATCGACTTTAAAAAAAATGAACTTAAGTTAATAGTTTTGAAACTTATTGTTAATGGCGA